AATTGTCCCATATGCAATGAGAACCGTATTTTAGTAGTAGAAAATTTAGATATTTGTCAATATTTTTTTTGCAATGTTGACTTATTATAACTCAAATATTAACATTCTTGTCTATCATCTAAATTATCTTGTAAATGGTCGTGTGAAATTTGTTCATATTGTAATCAAAAATATTTTTTTTCTTTTTAACTATAAGCTCAAGAAAATGAAGTTATTTTCTCAATTCAGAAAATCTATTAAATATTTTTATCAAATATATATTATTATGTTGAAAAATGTTGCCTTCTGTTTTTCATTTGATGGTGTCAGCTATCATTGTGTTAATTAATTTTGTTAAAAGAAAACAAATGTGTGAATTTATGCGTATGTATATTTGTAATAATCATATATACGTAGAAACGATAAGCGTAAATCAAAAACAAAAAATATTGTATATTTAACACAACCTCCTTCTATGGTGTGTGTTTTTTGTCCATTGACTTTATCTCCTTCTACTATAATAGGTATGTAAATGAATATTTGGTCAATATTTAATCAAATAATTTTGATTTCGAGTGATTTGTGTATGTGTGTAAATGTAATCTGAAGCATTAAAAAAAAAAAAAGGAGAAAAAAAAAAAGAAATCGTCATGTACGAAGTTTTCGATCCAATCGAAAAGGAAAGAAAATTTTTTTGGATAAGGCGTGAATTCCGGTCGATAGTACAAGGTTTATACTATATCCAGTGGCAATATTTTTTTGTGTTAAAGAGTGCTGGATGACTTCATACAAATAATGAAAAGTGTTCAAGACGCAATAGACAGAGTCTAAAAATGAGATATCAATATAAATCTTAAGATGAAATGAAAATTAAGTTGTACTTGAAATCAAATTTGATAATCTGGACGAGTCTCATTAATAAAACAGAAGTCTTATAAAAAATTTCTATCTCATTTTTGTAGAGTAGACGATAAGAAGAAGAAGAAAAAAAACGACCGGTAACAATTCTCAAGTAGATGTGTGTGTCTTAGAAACAGTCAGATAATCTATCAAAATTATTCAGTTATTACCACACATAATTGAACTAAAACGCTGTTTTGAATTAATTCATCACTTTTTAGTTTCAATTATAGTTGTTTGACGCAGTTTGGATTGGTATTGTAAGATATAAACCTAGTTTAATTGCTTTACTTCTAAAACGATTACTCTATTGTTCTTACCAATAAAAGAGAAATGATTTTATCAAGGTTCTTTTCTTTTTTACATACTGTGGTTACATATAAAAATCACTGTTTTTTAAAAAAATCCATAATAATCACTCATACACATAGACGTTTTAGATTTACTCAATTGAAGTTAAATATTTGTTAAGCGATTTAGCCCTTAGAAAACAACACAGAAGACAACTAATTATATTTAATATTAGATAAAATTGGTCTGATAGTTTATCGGTGAATGTTAGTTAATATCATAACATTTTGTATAGAAAAACAAAACAAAAAAACTTTCTAGATTCACCTAAGGATGATCATATTCTCAAAACTTTCGTTAGTCTAAATAATGAAGTAAAACTTTGTATACAGAATAAAAATGATGATGAAAGAAACATGCATTAAAATCAACAATCGACTAGAACAATATTGGAAAACTAATCATCAGATTGTTCTGAGTTTCTGATGCTCAGTTTTGTTTGCCTGTAGGCAAAAGAGAAAAATGTGTATAAATTATATTAATTGAACGACTACGAGTCAAAGCTAATTTATTTTTACAGCTCATCAAACGAATCATAGTTTTCTTGCTGTAATTTAATTATTTTTTTTGAAAAAAGTCTGGATTGTATTCTTCTCTTTAATCTAAATAACATATGCACACAGTTCTAATCATTTGTCGTCAGTTATATACATTCTATATGTACAACGTTTTTTCATTTTCTAAAGAGGTTTGGGATTCATCAATAAATTTTGTTTTTTTGTTCATCTCATGTGTCTCTCATCATATATATATACACACACACGTACTCTGATTACATATCACAACTAAATGTATAATTGTACGATACTATACTATTTGACAAGCGTAAAAGAGAACGAAGAAGAAGAAGAAGAAAAATAGCAGAGTGTGTTTGTAAAGTGGTCCATTCTTGTTCTTCAAGCAAACGTTTTCTTTTTTTTTTCAGAGAGAAAGATTGTCGAAATATATGTATAGTTACTATTAACGTGCAAACACGCATAAGAAGTCCAGCTATTCTCGATCGATCAACAGTTACCTGTCATACAGTGGCGAATCCAACCATCGTACGGTTGCATGTACCACCTTTCGAGCAAAAAAAGCTATTTTTTTCTCAGCAGAACTGTCTCAAAAAAATTTGTTTCTACGGTGATTACACGCACCTTATATTTTTATTGTGTAACTATATCTATATATATACGACCGATCTTAAACTGAGAGTGAGTGGATGACTTTTATTTCTTTATGTTAGCCAATATTGAATAGAAATTGTTTGTTATAAGTAGTAATGAGTAAAGAACTTGAACACCCACATTGACGATTAACACACTTTAAAGGGAGGAAGATATATAATCCACATTCAGTTATATTAAAGCATCCTCCTTTCCAGTCATATCAGATTCTGCAGATACTTAGAACCATTTTTTTACTGAAAATAAAAATTTAGTATTTTTGAACATTCTCTTTGAAAATTACTCTTAAATTACTATACCAGTCACAAAATGAAATTTTTGTTTTTTCGTCTATTTTTGTTATATTTATATCGACCATTTCAGATTGTTTCTGATTAATATTCTCTAAACAAATTCTACGTAAAACGTGTCATATTCCATGATTGTTTGTTATAAAACTCAGGACTATGCATATCTCTTCATATAGACTATTAATTAGGTAGCATACATATTGCCTTTTTCCACTGATAGTTTTTTTCACTGTTATGTCATTATTTTCTGAATTTTTATCATTGTTATTTTCTTCGTTATTATCATTATTCAGTACATTTACGTTATCATCACTTATACAATGCATAAAAGAAAAACTGTGAGTATTAAGTTTTGTTGCATTGTACATTAGTGTTCGATCGATATCTATCATATCGCTTACATTCAACGCATCTAATTTATAAGTAGTACATAAATAATTATTGGATGTCATATCTTCTGAACACATTTATTTGATGATATGATTTTAACTCCTGTTACTTAAAAACTTTGAAAGATTTTTGAAATTCCACTGTTTTAAAGAATCTATTTCTACGAGAAATATAATGGTACCAATTACTTTCGTTTGAGTATAAAAATGTAGCACAAAATTGTATATGGATATATGCTAATGAGCTTTATGTTCAAATATTTTGTTGGTATTATTTCTCTGTTGTCTTATCGATTTCTGTTGAAAGTAGTCTTGAAACTAACTTCAATTAATCAATAATAATCCATTTGGAGTTCACTGTAGGGAGGTTCATCAGTTATATCTCTATTTTTAAATGATATATTTCATTTTGAATATCATTTAGATTCGAAAGATAGTCGAGCTTGATTATCTTGGATTTGATGCTTTATCTGAAGGGGTTAACTGTATTCTTCAATAGTTACACAAACAAATATTTGACTATGATGTATTTCCTATGTGTATGTTGGTCTCTTGCTCTAAGCATTTTCTCTTGTATCAAATGAACGAAATACTTACTACTACTCTAAGATTTCTTTTTGCCAGACTGACGGATATTTATAAATTAGTTTGTGACACATATCTTCTAAATATCCATGCATTGTTTTAATTGCAATTTTTTAAACGTGTCAAACTCGTTAATATTAATAAATGTTGATGGATGATTCTTATTATAGCATTTTTTCTTATAATCCTTGATATTGCTTCTGCAATGTGGAATTATCAAATTTTATCTTATTGATCAAAGTATTCATCCATTATTCGATATATACAATCACTTAGTGTTGAAACGTTATTAAGCTTTTTTTTTTGTTCTATTGCATAAGAAACAATGTATTTCCCACGCAAGCATGATACAATGTTTAAATACGTTGAAATATCCGTCAATACTAAGAAGTGATCTTTTTAAATTAGTCAACTTTGCGATTGTTAATGTTGTTTGTAGAAAATTGTTTGATGAGGAATCTTCCACTTGAATATCTACTCAAGTGCATATATCTTCTTTGCTAATTGGTACGGAATAATGAATGTTAAGAGAGAAAAAAGATATTGTCTTCTTCGATTATTTTGAATTGAAAAGTAAATATCAATGTGATGTGGCATCTTTCACAGGGTACACGTTTTGAAAAAATCTCTTTTCAACCATCTAGGTAGATTTGAAGTTTCTTTGTTGTCAGACTTTCTATCCAGAATAAAGATATAAAAGATGCTCATTATTAGAAGACGTCCGACAGTTATGGAAGTCATCTTTTCTCTGAAGACATCTGTTTAGAGGCGCACTTGTATTAGAGTCTCTAGACAAGAAAATCTCGGATATTTTTGCGAAAGCTTTTGCCTAATTAGTTTCTTTTCTACTATGTTTATCTTTTCGATGTAAGTACTGTTTAATCTAAAACTTATACCATATATTTCAGACTAATTATGATGAGTTATCAACATTTCATGACTTATTAGTATCAATCTCTACTAGGTAGTGATATTATTAAAATTCACAGTCCATGTATACACGTACATCTATTTAATCACAATTAGATTATAAGTAATTGCTCTGTCCTCCTACACTATCAAAAACCTGTAGTTCTTTTTTTGAAGAATGAAATAAAGGTTGATGATAAGTGTTAATATACTCCTACCTAATTCGTTCAGAAGACAACAGTAATGGTAGCCGTCTAATTATGTTATGACAATCAGTGTAAGCAAAAGCACCCGTTTGTTTGACCTTATAAAGAGCTTGTTTTATTCATTTTTCAACACTTTTTCTCCTTCTCTATTCTAGATGACATATCGTTCTTAAGCAAATAAAAATGGTCTTTTTATTATAATTTTATCGAAATATACGAAGTATGATCAATACAGTTTCATTTGATAATAATACTACTAACGCTCACCATTCATCATCGTCTCCCACCGCAACAGCAGCTGAAGAAAAGCGTTTACAATTAAAAATAAAACGTCATACATATCACGGTAAAACTACGCAACATGGAATTATTCAAGATAAAGATCAACAACAACAAGACAATAATAAAAAATCTGCAGAAATCTTAACTAGAAACAATACAAAAACAGTAGTCCCGGTATTGTCGAATACAAAAGCAGATGGTAAAATGGTAGTAGACGAAAATGCAAATTTATCGTCAACGACGGCAACACCAGACGATAATAATGTATGTAACGAATCTGGAGATAATGAAAGTGAAAAAAGTGAAAATGATACATTGACGACCACGACAACGACAACAACCGTTCAAGTGAAAGTCAAAACAACAAAAACATCAAGAAAGCGAAAATTTAATAGTGAGAATAATACTGATAGCAATAATGAAAAAACAAAACAATCGGCCAAGACAAAAGTAAGAACAATTACATTTTTTATTAATTAATATGACTGAACCCGCCGTCTTTTTTTCAATTAGTATTCATTTCGCCCTTCCCCGCAAAAGAGAGTACGATGGTTTTGATTGCTTTAGATGGTCACTGCTCATATAAGTTTATTTATTAATTTTCTAAAACTCTAAAGTTTTGTGCGTCTAATAATGGTTCACGTTACTTTAAAGATTTAACTTATTTTTAGACGCCTATACAGTTCATTTCTACTTTGTTTTGAAAAAGAAGCCAGTAATGGAAAAAGAGCCCACTGGATATTAATACGATATCTTTTCTCTATACCAATCTATTTATTTTTTCTTCTTTCACACACATACATATATATATATGCACATCTGCTTCCATTCTTTTCAACACTTGTCCTATTGTGTTCTTGCGTGAAGATGATGATGTACATGTCTGTAGGACATTAACAGGTAGCTAATCTGTCAATTAGTTCCCTATCTACAATTAAATGATATTCTGTTTAAAAACTGTTCACTAATTGAAAACAAGTATGTGTCGTTTTGAAGAATGAGCATATTAGAAAAAAAAAATGTTTTGATCTTTTGAATTAAATATATCATCCCAGAAGCTGTTTAAATAGTTGTTTTCTTTCTAGAAAAAACGAGCTGTATCGTCGACTATTGAACGACAAAATAGTAAGGACGATACAACTATATCACCAACATTATCGCCATCGAGAACAGATCGCTCACCAGATGATACTGTTTCATCTGTTGGTGTTCACACAGAACAAGATGCATTTGGACCGTGTGAACCGGGTTCATCTGTTTTACTTGAAGGAATAGTATGGAATGAAACAGACAAAGGTATACTGATGTTTTTTTTATATGCATACACAAATACACAAAGTATCTTTCGACCGACTTCGGTTCTTTCATCTTCAATATATTTTTATTCATTTTTCTTTTAGGTGTACTTGTAATCAATGTAACATGGCGTGGGAAAACATACGTTGGAGCGCTGTTAAATACAACCGAACAAAGCTGGGCACCTCCCAGGTATATAGAAATGAATTATTATCGCTTTTAAACAAGTTCATTAATTTTGTATTTGAGTCATACTGATAAATATTTTTAATTGTGCCAGAAAAGCAACAGAGGATAAGATGAGCGTAATAACCCGATCTTCTTAAAAAACTACAATTTACTGTTATAGAAGATTTTTCATATTGTTTTGATGTTTTAGATATAAAAATGATCCAAGACAAAATCATCGATATAAAAATAATCATCATAACACATTATCATCCTCTTCGACATTGTTGTCATCATCCTTATCGCCTTTGGCTTCTTTATCCTTATCTCAGTCAAACCTTTTATCTGTATCGACTGCTACTACACAACTACCATCTGTCACAAATACTAATGAACCGACAGAAAGGATACTTCGCAATGGTAAACGTCGTGGAGCTGCTGCTCAACAACAAACAACACGACCAACATCACCGGGTGATTTTAAAGTCCCACCACTTCCAGTTCTTGCATCAAAGGATCTTTCATCCGACGTAGTAACAGTTAAAAATGAATTGGATTCATCAATCATTGAATCAGTGCCAGACGATTCATTCAGTTCAGATAAAACTACAATTGTAAATGAAAATGGGTCGTCAACCCCCGTAGCACCACCACCGAATTATGATAATTCAACGAATGGAAAAGATGATGATGAAAGTAGTACGAGCTCAGGATGTAGTACGAGATGTAGTCCAATGACAACATGTAGTGAAGCAAAGACTGAAATAAATAACAATGAATTAACACTAAGTACTAATCATAATGATACTCACGTTGAATCCGTAACTCCGATCGATTTAAGTAAAACAACAACCGAACTCGTGAAGGATACTGAAAAGGTCATAACTGAAAATATATCATTGACTGATTCACTTAAATTACCAATCATAAGTGATTCTATAAACGACATTAAAAAACCGCCATCAACTACTACAATGATGGATTTTATTCAAAAAACATCTCAGTCACACATGAGTCATCAACCAAAACAACACGACAGATTTTCACATCATAACCATCATCATCATCATTTTTCAAAATCCCATCATAATTCTAAATCAAATAAACTTTGTTCAAAATTAGACAGTACAAATACTTCCATTTCGAATAGTAATAAAATCAAATCTATACCAACTTCACCATCATCGTCTTCGCCGTACAATCCATTATCATCATATCACCAGCAATATTTTTCACCTCATCATCAATCCCCACCGATTTCACCATTCTCTCCATTTCGACCCGAAATGACCGCTGCATATCTCGGCTATCAACAATCATCGTCTCCTCCACATCATATCGGTGAACGTTTATCACCATCAACAAAAAACATGTTAAATAGTAAGTCATCATCGCCCTATTTACAACTACCATCACCTGTTCAACAACAATTATATTTTAATTCATTATTACATGCTCAAAATCATTCGAGATATCAAGCAGCTGCAGCTTATTCTAAGTCTTCACGATAACGTTGTTCATTTTTCTTTTCTTTTTTTGTGTATAAAATTTTTGTCTTACAGATAAATTAAATTGCAATTTGCGTCTTATTTCTTCTGATTCTCAGCATGTACAACTATGAGACTTGTAATAAAAATTAGATAATAAAACAAACAACAGCATGGTGCATTTTGCGCTTGTCAAGTAAACACCACATTGTTTTCAATGTTCAATTTGTTCTTTAGGGGATATTATTCTGTTACCCAATTTGGCTATGTTTATGCATATTTGTTATATTATTTCAAGGTGCTTCTTGTTTCTCTTTCTAGTAATTATCTGTTTGGCATAGCCATTGTTTTTTCTAATCTTTTGTTGTTTACATTTGTGTGTGTGTATATGTCAGTCTCAGTTTCATCAATTCTAGTCGAATGATTTTTGTTCGTTTCATCATATACACGCCTCTAGAGAAGTTTTTTTTTCATAATTATATAATATCGTTTTTTGTTAGTTTCTCTCTTCTTTCTTTCTCTTGTAAAGAATAAGAAAAGAAAAATATTTATCATACAGAGAACGATATGTAGCTTTTTTCATCATATTGAATATGTAATTTATGGTGTGTTTTTTCCCCTTCTCTATTTGTATTTCGTAATCATCACTATTACAACAACAAGAAGAAGAAAAAAGAAATCAAACATGAATTAAAATTCCAAACAGATTGGATTGATTTCGAATTCTATACACATGTTCACATAATAGAGCGAGAGAGATAGAGAAAGAGAGAAAGTGACGTGATAGACATCACAAATTAATACTAATTTGATATAAAAAAAAATCAATTCGAATAACAATAGAATGCATTAAGAAAAGGGCGACAATATTATTAAAACTTAGACTAGTAACATATTGGATAGTAATAACATTTGTGTCATTACTAGTAGAAAAAGAAAATCTCATAATGAGGCTCATTATAGTTGAAACAAAAGAGTTTTTCTTACATAATGAACTTTCTTTGCCATAAAAGTTTGTTTGTTAATGTTTAATCCAATGAAAGCTAATTAGTTTGAAACCAAAGCTAGACAAAAAATTCAGGATATTTTTTTTGTTCTAGCTATAATTGCAAAAATTGTAACTGTTTTCTAAATACACCCGTTCTACAACGGAACACTGCGTGATTAAAATGCTAAAACTAAAATTTAACTTGTGAATAAATTCTAATTGAACTTTTCTTTTGATAAAGATTTTGTGATAAAATTAAACTTTTTCAACCGGAAATCACAACTCATTTTTCCCTTTTCTTTACAAACATAAGTATGAAATACGATCTTTTTTCGTTTCTCTTTAGATAAATATTGTAATTTTTGTAATTGACCACGTTTCTTTGTCTTTTTTATTTTTATCAAACGTATGTGTCCGTGTGTGAGCGTTTTATTTGTCCAATTTAACAAAGTTGAAGAAGAGTAGTCAGCAAAGATAGATATTCGTGTTGACTTTTTTTTTCTTAAAATACAGGAGCAAGATTTTGAGAAGTAATTTACTGATAACTCATATCTTCTTTATTTTTGGTATTGTTACGATTAAAAGCTCTAATTTATATCATCAACTGCCTAGATATGTGATAAGAATTGAAATAAATATTGACCAGTACTTCATTTTAGACAGAAAAAGATTGTTTATTTACTGTCACCTTGACATTTCAGATCCTTATCAAGCAAATAAAATTAATACAAGAATTGTTCTATAGAGAAAAATCAGACTATATTTTTGAAGTGAATGAGAAAAAAAGAGTGGAGCACTGTTATTTTAAGAGCAATAAATTAAAGTGGGCTTTGAGAGTATTCAAAGAGAACAAACGATCAAACTTAAAAAGACGTAGTCTCAGAAGACTAAGATAGAAAAATCAGGTTCATGCCCAAACTTTGTACACTCACACTCATCCACTCTTCATCTTTGAAAATTCTTTGATCTCAATTTGAAATTAATTAAAAGTGTGTAGAGTTCGAATAGTAACGAAAAATCACTATATTTATGAACTAAAACTAGACTAGACATTGACCATGTCATCTTATCAATGTGAACATCTATCTACTTATCATTATTCTTATTCTTCTTCCGTATACGCAGATATACATAATATAAACTGTTTTAATAATAATATCAATACTCTTCTGTTTTCTTTCTGTTCTCAGATAATAGTGCTTTATTTCTCTACCCAAAAAGATGAATTGTACACTTATGTGTAGAGAAAAGAAAAAAATAGCTCGTATGTACATGGTAAGAATAAGTGTAACTGTAAAATTCATCGTTTAACTAAAGTTGATTATGTAACACAGCAAATATACATAATAAAGGTTTTGATCTTTCATCATATATGATGGCAAAAAAAGAAAAATGAAATTATCGCTTTACATACTTTTAGAAAATGCGATAACAGCCATTGTTCGCCTTATAATTTAAATTAGTGTCAACAAAAGTCTAAATGCAGTTGTTTCAAATCGAAACTGAACCTTATTGATGAAACTACTTACAGACTACTTTGAAAAACTCAAATGGTGTTAAATAAAGTTTCTGATTTATACAGTTCGTTGTTGTTCTTATTGAACAGTATATAAAACAAGTAAAAAGTATAAATCAAACCAAAAACTGGTATCTAGATACTATATGGACAGGTTTTAAACATTTATCGAGTCTATTTTTTATACTCATCGTGGTTATATTACGTATGACAATGTCGACCATTACAATAAAAACAATCTAAAAATAATAGGCGTATGTATATGTATATACACTCATAATAGATTTCGTATAAATATAGGCACGCTGATGAATAGGAGAGCCGTACGTATACAATAAATATAAATTGACAGTTGATATTTATTTATGCGTATATTCAAATATAAAATATAGATTGACTGCATTTGACAAAAATATAAATGTCCCGATATTTATAGATATACGATACATCCTATGATCAACGCCACTTATTTTCGTTACTCTCTCGCTAATTGAGAATGTTTCTCATTCAGTTCAAATGACTGACTACTATTCAAATATAAAGATAACCACATGATTTCTAATGATAATCGTATTTAAACTTTTGTTAATTATTCTATTCCATTCAAAGGGAACATACCTAGAAAAGTTGTTTGTCAATTATTCTATAATACTACGAAATTTTTTTTGAAAGTGATCTTAATATCTACAATGATAAAGAAAAAGAAAAGAGAGCACTCTAGTAATAATGAATTATTAGAAATGATTCTTTTTTTCATTACAAAAGAAATTCATTCGAGTGAATGCGATGACCATTGTGTTACGCTTCAAAAAAGGTATGCTTTTTTTAATTAGTGTAGATAGTGTAACGTCTGAGTTAGATGTCGTTGTACATATATATTAGCTATGGATGGAATATTGTTTAATAATCAGGTAAGAATTTAAATTCTTTTTTAAAAAAATAATAGACTCAAACGGGAAAAACATATCAATGTTGTGATTCTCTGATAACCGCTACTATTCTTTCAATATAAATGAAAAAGAGAGCAAATCTCGTCATAGTTGTTCTTGTGTCAATATAACTTTTCCTCATTAAAAATCACATAACATGTTAACGTGCAAATAATTATTTATAAAATGATTATCCATGAAAGTCAAGTTTATTCATCAAAAAAATGATGTCAACATCATCACTATATTCATTTTTTTTAATTAAGAGTTTCGTTATCTTTTTGTATTCACTCGTACATCCACTTGTATCCTAATCAAATACTTGACTGCATCAGTGATAGGCAAGATAACAAGTTTTTCTGATGTTCCGTTTTGTAAAGATTCCATAAGACTTATATTCATGTAGACGAACGCATGAAAACTTTCTTCTCACGCAAATATGTTCAAGAAAAGTTTTATTCTATACGATATTATCTAATAAAAAAAAAATAGGGAATTTAACCAACAGACATAGATAAACAAAAATTCTTATTCATAAAGAAAAATGGATAACATTCATATGCGGTTTGTATTTGATATGATTATTTTTGAAAGATTCATTTTTCTGTTGTCACTAGTTTTAAGCGTATATACACTTACAAAATGATCATAAATGGACAATGTAACATATTTTAAATCATACGCTTTAATATTTAAATAAAATCGATAACTCCTCAAATATAGACTGTTATTATTGATCTAAGTTATGTTACGGGATACAATTTATATTTCGTTGTTTTTAAATCATATAGTTTGCCATTATTTTTCGATTGCTCAATTAATCCTTTTTGTCTTATCGATGAACGAATAAATACAATATTATTCATTGTCTGGTTCTAAATTAATACAAATGGGAGTAATAATACTATCAGATGTACTAAATAACTGCTCTATAACGGTCAAATTGCAAGAATTGAAAAGATACATCTGATGATACACGTTAACAATGAATATTCTATCTCATAATTGAGAATTACGTCAAATAAGTTCATTTTTCTTTTTCGTTGTCGTCGTCTTTTTCTTCTTATTTGTACGTATCAACTCCTTCAGTAACAGTATTGAAATATTCTTGTAGTTCATCATAAATTGATTGTGTCTCATAGTGTGATGAAAATAAAATTTTTTTTAGTTTTCATGTGTCCAGTCTCGAGACAATCCTGACTCGTATCGATGGAATTCTTAAATATTAATTAATGTTCTATTTTCTCTTTTATTTTTCAGACAACTAATCGCCGACTATATTCAAATGATAGTCTTATTGTCATGAAATTCTTCAGGGATTGCAATGATTTCTATAAGAACAATAATAATCATTATTGGAAATTTGATATTTGAAAACATATAATGGTTAAAAGATATAGAGCTCATGAATGATGTATCGTCTACTATTTTAATTTTTTGATACTCCATATCATTGTTAAATTTATCAAAGATTTTCATTGTGCGAAGTAAAACATAATGTTAATATATGGAGGGGATCATTTTGTATATGTATCAGGGATAAATAAAAAGTTTCTTTTAGTACAATTACTGAGTAGTAGAAAAAAATATTGGAAAAAATCGCTGATATGAGCAAAAAGTATTTGGAGAAAAAATTACAAACGATTGGAATGTTTTTTTTTTTTTATTAGAAAATACACACATTTGATAAAGTTATAGAGATTTTTGAGGTTTACTCACAAATGTTATTATGTTGAAAATATGAACATTACTTAACCATTAAATGAGAGAATGAGTATAAATACATTTGCTCTTTTTTTTTGTATGATTGTTGGTGAGAAACAATAGAAAAAGTTTTCTCATCTTTTTTTAGACTTTTAAATTCGAGATCAAACTTGTCACTTGCTTATTTCTTTGTTTCCTTTTCTTTTTCTTCTTTTTTATATAGAACAGACTAAACATAATAATCAAAATAAGAAGAATAAAAACAAAGATAATTACCATAAGTTATATCATCATTGCATTTTTTCGTTTTGAGACTACGTTTCAAGAAAAAAAATATATTTTAATTTCGTTTTTTTTTTCTTCTGTTCTTTATACACGAAGAAAGGCAGGAATGATCGAAGAATTACAACCACATCTGTCGTTATTCATTTCATTTTTTTTCTTCTTTTTCATCAGAAAAATTAGAAAATGACGCATATATCACACATTCTTGAGTAAAAAAAGAAAATATCTCCATTTCACACACAATACTTCTATTTTTCCCCATGGATCTGTTTAAATAAATAGTGTTTGTTTATGTTCTACAAATTAGCAGCTTATCCCATATATTTTGTTTTTTATTTTCAGAACAAAGGATATAAACAATGAATATTGACAACGTTCTGCTAAACGAAACTTTCAATTATGTAAACAAATCTCAAAAACTTGAGTAAATTATTGCTTTCGTAACAGAAAAAAATGCTAAATTATCTGCTCTCTTTGGGTTTTTTTTCTACTTTTCTTATTACCCACAGATTATTATGCTGTACTTAAAATCTTAATGAACTTGTCTAACTTGTGACTCTAGTATCTGAATGAGTTTTGAAGCGATTTTCATCGAATTTGGGGGCTTTTGTAGCTGAAAGTCTTATCTGTTTAACGATCTAGAAATTATTCCGAAATTCCCATCAGAGACGGATCGCAGGAAGATTTACTAAGAAGAGGGTTGTTTTGGTTCCAATTAGGCTCTGTGCTTAATGGGAACCGTACAGCGAAATGTGTGTCTAATTGGAACCGTCTCGTTGAAATTACACGGGTTCTCAATGGTTTGGTAAAACCTATTTTTTAAAAGACTTTCTAAGATAAACTAGGAAGTTTTTATATGGTCATAATCCGGAGAATGAGCCCCGTCGAATGCCACTAATTCGAGATTTGTAAGACCAAAATTGACCAAGTTATACTTACCATACTTTAGTGTATGTAAAAACGAGATGGCTGCATATTAGGCACTGAGCTTAATTGGAACCGTACAGCAAAATGTATGTCTAATTAGAACCATCTCGTTCAAATTAGACGAGTTTTCAATCATTATCAAAGGCCATATTGACAATGATGGTGGACCTGAAAGGGAAAGAAATAGCAATAAAATCAATTTGGGTTCGGATGTGAAGTGTACCTGTTGTTATCTTCAATGACATTGTACACCACCAGTGTCAATATGGCCCTCATAAAGTCCATTAGATCCTTATTCAACCCATCAAATATTTAATCCTCAATTCTCATATTTATTTAAACCACCATATTCCCACGCAACAACTTCATATCAACATCCAATATCAGGCACTAATGTCCGCAATGATATTTTCCCGTCATCACCATCAGCTACCAATGCAACCAGTTGGTGAGATTCAACAAAGATGTTACAAATGTGAACATCCGTATAATTCTAATTTGACTTATTGTCATTGTTCCAAATGTACACGAATAGTATGTTATTCTTGTAGTTATGATGTTGGCAGTGGCATTCGACGGGGCTCATTCTCCGGATTATGACCATATAAAAACTTCCTAGTTTATCTTAGAAAGTCTTTTAAAAAATAGGTTTTACTAAACCATTGAGAACCCGTGTAATTTCAACGAGACGGTTCCAATTAGACACACATTTCGCTGTACGGTTCCCATTAAGCACAGAGCCTGATTGGAACCAAAACAGCCCTCTTCTTAGTAAATCTTCCTGCGATCCGTCTCTGATGGGAATTTCGGAATCATTTTTAGATCATTAAATAGATCAGACTTCCAGCTACAACAGTCCCCAGATTCGATGAAAATCGCTTCAAAACTCACTCAGATACTAGAGTCACAAGTTAGACAAATCTAGTTGCGGTTCCAATTAGACACTTTACTCTACTATATTTTCACAATAGTCTTCAATTCTTTGTTTATTATGGTCTTTAGCATTGTTTTATTACATCATTCCAGTTAAACACTCTCATTCTATACTAGAATGCTCCCTTATATTCCCTAATTCTTTTCATGATGCTTGTGAATTTTCGACAGATTTAATTGTCCATTTTCAATATTTTCCGACTCGATTATCATTTAATGTCGTTAGCATACTCGAACTAATTGATCGAGAGAGACATTATTAGCAGACATATACTGATATTTTTTTACTTTATTGATTTTCTTCAATTACAGCATAAATTAAACTAAAAGCTACACTATTTAGTAGAACAGAGCGCTACATGAGGCTTTTTTTCGCTTTTCATCATTATAACTTTTATTCGGTTTTTGTTCTAAAACTGTTTATTGATGAACTACCTCATGCAACATCGTTCTTTTAAATATTTGAAAAAATTCCTATATATATTTGGTCTATTCATTTATTTGCTCTAAAAACAAATGCTCATGGATATGAAGACTATATCCACTTTTTTTTACCTGAATGCCGTCAGTTTGGATACTCAGCAATAACTTGATTTTATCCAAATAACACTTATGGCCATGAACTTTTCTTACAAGAACTAACCTGTTTTTTCTCTCTTCGTCTGCCGCTATGCAGTATGCAGTATCATCTGACATTTTTATTGAAGCCTCTTCTGATGGCTACCAAATTATCAAATACTTAGCTTTTCCTATTCTTCTCTAAGCAGAAAAGGCGACAGCAGTATTTTAATTCAAAAATAGGATCAGTTATTAGAGAAAGCCATTTGTCAAATTCAATTACTTTAAAATCGTGGTCAAAATAGTCGTTTTAATCTGAATTTCAACCAAAAGATTTCTTTCAACACGATTCATGCTCAAATATAATTCATTTCACGTTAATTTCAGTCTAAAAAACCGACTCATTTTGATATTCTGGTCCCATATGCAGTCACAAAACTCACCCATAAAAGCACACACACATATATTGCTCTTATGTATATGAATAGAGAGAAAAACGGAAAACGAGTATAAATCCTATATGTCTGTACAGGCATACGCATACACATACACTAGACATAGATGATAATCATATAAAAATAGGCCTACACTACTCTGAATATGTATACTATGCAATCGAACACAAAAAAAAGAAAGACGGATGAAATTTCTTTTAGTTTGTATGCACTGTTCGAGAATCAGCTCGATTTAAAGAACTGATTCAGATTTTCAGAAATATTAGAACTGATTCAATATTCAACAGAATGTGTCCGGGTAATAAACAGAACTTACGTTTTTCAGAACTGATTCTAATGATGAAATGAGAGCTAGTTTTACTGAAAATTGTCATAATTAGGTTCGATTTAAACTCAGATTCATCAGAGCTAAAAGAGAAAAAAAATAAAAGTCTGAATCAGCTTTGCAGACCGACCTGATTCTCGGCCAGTATGTGTAGAAAGAAAACGAATGAAAGGGTTTGGAGGGCAAAATAAAAAAAAATTCACATCTCGAGAGGAAACACTAACTAATAGAGACGAGAGAGAAAAGAAAAAAGATGAGGGGGGGGGGGGCGGCACCATTATAAAGGGAAAGAAAGGAGCAAAGCACCTTTGGAAGAAGAAAAAAAACTAGGACCCAGACCACGCGGCCACACAC